GCCTCCCCCCTTCTAGGATTTTCGACTTTGTGCAAGTTTTCTCACCCCCTTTTTTTTTTTACCTTGTCAACTTTTCAAGGTAAGTAAAAAAAAATTTCTCGGCTCCCCCCCTTCCACTTTAAAAACGATGCTACGTGGCTGCCTTTGAAATAGTCAACAGATTAAATGGTGGAAGGGGGATATGAATTACATGAGTCCTCTGTAGATAAATCATAACTTGAATTTTCAATTCAATCCTTTGTAAAGAGCGTATATATAGATAAGAAAATCATAAAATTCAATAATTTGAAATGATATAATCAGTTTTCCTCGAATATACTTTTATTTTTGTATGATATCTATGTGCGATATTTACGTGATATTTAACAAACACTTCGTAATCAGGTAATGGCGAAATATTTAACCTTCTTATATTCTAAATAATGTGCGTTTCTCTAAGCAGATTAATAAAGAATCAATTAATGTAGTATTTTAGGGAATATTGTCATCATTAAGCTTATCATGGGATGTGATAAAACTTGTTAAAATAAAAAGAAAATAATTTCATTTAAATGAAAATTATATCCGTTTTATTTCCCAACCCCCAACCCCCCTCCTGGATTTTAGAGTGTGGTGCAAGGGGTTTTTTCCTTGTCAACTGTTTTTGGAGGCCCCCTTTCTTTTAAATGTAGCTACGGACTTAAAGTGGCCGAGGTGTGATTCTGTGCATGAGTGCTGGGGACACAGACCTGGAGCGTCCCCCCCTTTCAAAAATTGCTGGATCCGTCCCTGAATTGTTAATGAAATTCACAAGAAAACCTTTGGATATCAAAGAAGACAAAAAAGTTGAAGAAGGTAAATTCAAAATCAAGAAAAAAGATACCCGTTGATCATTTGACATATTCGAGCTGTTGTATTCACGAAAACGCTGTGTCAGGGTCAATTACTCTTCATCTGTGGATGCAGTACAGCGTATGCCCTATATTACAATAGGTGGGATATTTTAATATATTTCTGTGTGGAATTCATGTCAAGAAATTGATCTCTCGTTGCTGTGGATTGAATATTTGAAGAGCTCCGTAAAATCATTTCGTAGTTTGGGATATATACGTACTGTAATTTATGTGAAAGACTTTTATTTCACTTGCAGAAATTTTGCATTTGTGTATTACAATGCCCATTCATTCTGTAATTCAGATTCAATATACATGTAATTTAAAATGATGACATCGCCTTAGTGTTCAATAATTTATTTACACGGCACAGTTTTTGCTGGCTCCGCCCATATACACGGTACAGTTTTTTCTGGATACGCCCATCGGTGTATCTCCAGTTACTGTACACTTGACTTCAAAGGAAAAACACCGCAGCCATGATACAATTACTAATAATTGAATCAAAGATTCTACACCCCTTTTACAAATGTGCTTAAACCGTTTCATAAATGTTTAAAGTTAACAAAATTTGATGTGTATTATATTGATTTTGTTTTAAAAAAAAAAATTCTTTCGTTTCCAAATATGGCTTTTCAACATCACGTAAATATCTTGGTGTAAAATTAGCCCTCCAACCGCTTTTATTTCGAAGGAGGCCAGCAAAACACAGCATGAAGTATGTAAATCAAATTGCGATTTTTAATAACTATACACTTTCATGTTTCAAATGACGTATAAAAGTGTTAATTTCAGTCCACTAAATTTTTTGACTTTTCCCAAGATCGAATTGGTACTATAAATTGAGAATGCGTGTAATATGAAACGGACCCGAGAAACTCTGTGTAAAATCTCTCCTTTTAAATTCCCTGGGATATATCGAATTGACATATGCATGAAAATAACCATTGTTAATTAATAGTGCATCGTCGATACATGTACTCGCACATGTATCTGAAAGTCGAAATGCAGACCGCAGTAAGTATATTCTTCTTTTCAAATCCTGCTTCATATGAATATAGAAACAGTTCAGCTGATGAAGGAGCATAATTAGTGTACATTGGAATTCCAAAAGTTGGAAAACCTTGTCTTTGAACACTGCATAAATGTTGGCAATGAGGAACTCAAGCTTTCTTTCACTGTCAACTTAAGAATATCTCTGTATATAACCAGATTGATATGTGAAGAATCAGATTGATATATCTAAAAAAGTCATTTTGATGACCAATCACAACCATTTTTATTGAAGAAGCAGTTGTCTATGATATCAAAAAGCTTAGTTTGATTAATCGAATGTAATGGTTCTATAAAGTCTAGAAAAGTCGTTTTTATGTTACCTACTTTTGAAAAATTTGGCGATTTTAAATATTCTGAAAGTTCATTAGAGTTTTGAGAATCCATATCTGATTTGCACCATTTCCAAAATATGATGAAACACAGTACATGTACGGCCCAAGTTTCTCTTAAGCAATGTATTTCTGTCGGCGTCCACTGTCGTCCAGGTTAAAGTTTTAGGAGCAGGTCTATTACCAAGTAACTTTAAGTCCCACTTAAACCAAACTTGCATGGATAGTGCATCTAGAGATGGACACTACAAGACTTGCTTCAAATGCTTGATCCAACCTCCATTTTCCGGATAATTGACCAGTTTTAAGTTTTTGGAGCAGGTCCATTCCTAAGAATAGATGATGTATTTAGGAATGAGTACCAAACCTGCTTCGGATGCTAGATCTGACCTATATTTTCCAGATAAGTGAATTTTAGTCATAATTGAACCTTATTTTAAAGCATGCATATTGATGATGTATCTAGGGCACAGGCGCTTGTTTCATACAGTACGCTAGTTTTCTACTATAATATGGTAGAAAACTAGCGTTATGTATAAAACAAGCGCCTGTGCATGATTTAGGGATGGAAATTACCAGACTTACTTTGGATGCTTGACCCCTGATATTATACAGAAAATTTGAGCAAATTTTAACTTCCACTTTATATCCATGTCCTTATAAAGTGTCTTAACTTTTCCAAAGTTTTGAATGAGCAATTGAAAATATAATATGAGACTGAGATGAGTATTCTAATATGCACCAAAGATTTTTATACCCGACAATGATTGTCCTTACAGAACAAATTAATTGAACACACCTGGTAAAAAGTAAACATTAACATTATCAGAGTTCGATCTCAGACTGATGAAAAGGAAAAAATTAACAATAATAGACCTCGAGCCCTGTCTACAAAACAGTTAATATTTCCCTGGTTTTTCATTTTGTTTGAGTCTGCACACATCACTGAGCACGGACTGACAATACTGGTGAGTTGATTTGGTTTTGCTTTCTCACATTTCTACACTGAATTTTCTAAATTATAAGTTTTAAGTTTTAATATCAATTCTCTGCAATTATCAAACAATATCAATAATGCTTGGCCACGCTACATTTTCAATTTCTATGAAACTTTTTGTGTGTACTCACATTGCCACATCATTAATGGTTTTATATTTTTTTTATTTCAAAAAATGTCTCGTTGCCATGGTAACGGCACCTATTGTTTCCCCATTCTTCCTAAAATTTGACCAAAAAAACGTGATTTTGTAGGTTTTACTGAATAAAAATGAGCTTAAAAGAAACAAGAGAATGGGAAAATCTACTTTTGTTTGAAAACTACCATTATTCCTCTCTAATATAACAACATAATTTTTTAAAAACTGTAATTCTACATAATGGCTTAACAACGCTTAGCTTTGGGGATTTTGGCATTTTGCCAAATTGAGAAAATTACCATTTTAGACCCTTTTTCAAAGCGATTTTTTAATACTTTGCACACTGATTTGAAATTCAGGAAACAGTGCATTGTATAGATGGTACATAAGTTAGTTTAAACACATTAAAATATTTATGGGACACTTAAACATTTTTTTTTAAAAGCTGATGAAAAAGTACCCAAAATCTGCAAAATTTCCGTATTTCAAGGAACATATGCACATTTCATTAAGTTCATATAGAAAAGAAATGTTCCTTTCTACCTCTTTTGATGTCATTTATAGTAAAATTAGTCCATATCTAGGAAAAGTGTCATGTAAAAATATTCACATCCCATTTACAAGAGCATTAAAAAATGTAAATCTGTTCTTGGATAGGTTAACTGTTAACACCTGCACAAAATGCCCCCCCCCCCCCCCCCCCTTTCGTAAAATTGACAATTTTGAAGTACATGTAGACTAACCAGGGCATGTTTCAAGTTTCCTGAAACTATCCCCTTAGATTGAAACTAATATGAAATAAAATTTTCCCTATCCATTCTCTATTACTATGGAAACTGGAATGCAAGATTTGTTCTCATGGAGACAGGACTACCAGATTTTTAACCAAAATGGCTGCGTTTAACGTTACAATATTCCCAAAACTACACTTATTTACTCTTTTATAAAACCTGTGTACTGAGTTAAATGTGAATGTGAACTTTTTTTTTTGGCATCTTAAATTTGCATCTTTATGATGTTGCAAAAATATAATGCATTTTGTAATGCTATGTCAAATAATTGCAAAACCTTGTGGCTTTTACTTTTTCAAGATTTGGTCAAACTTGAAAAATTCTGAAATGAAACTAAAACAAGCAGGACATTCATAATATTTTACTCAATTCAACTTGTTACTTTGTATAATTATTTATTAAATTGATGGGCAACTGCAAACCACAGATACTTTGGATGAAGTCAAAAATTTACCCCCCCCCTTCTGATTCTTTCTTTTAAAACTTAAACACAGCTTTAAACTTGAGAAAAATTACATTGGTTTAAAAAAAATCACATCCTCTTGGGTAAGTTATCTTGGATTTAAACATAAATATCCAACAATGAAAAACTTTAAACATAGTGTTTGGCATATAATAAATAATTAGGTTTGCAATGGATCTTTTGTATTCTGTAAAGTCAGTTGAAAGAATGCCCCCCCCCCCCCCCCCCTGAGACGCTGTCCCTCACAAGTATCATTTTAAGGAAGTTCTTCCTTTCATTTTACTAGGTTCCTGCCAACATTTCATCACACCAACTATATCAATCTCCTTTTCTTTTTTTCACATGTAAATATAAATTCTGAAAACAAGAGAACTTTTCGCTTTTTTATTTTTTATGTATGCAACATTTAGAGTACATGTATTCTCAACTACGGTACATATCATTAGATTTACGTGACAAATTCTACTGTTTCTGCTGCTCTGAAAATCTTGTCTCTGATTTTTCAATTTTAGAGTTTTTGTTGGTCAGGCATGTACCAGTAATGACCTACATTGACATACGCAATTAACACTGATGATTAGTTAATGAGAATTATGCTGAGTTGAGTTTTTTTGGCAAGGTACAGGAAAAAGCTTGATAAGTTCTAAAACATATTGTTATACAGCGCCATCACATAAATATGATAAACATGTTCCTATTATATTTGAACTTTGACATCTCAAACACTGATATCTTGAAGACAGTGGGTACAAGTATGTTGAAGTAGGTTGGAATTCAGCTTTCACTTGCCTGGTTTCAAACCTAAAATATGGCATCCCTTCTCAACCTGCAATGGTAAATAATTAATTTAATTAATTAATTAATAAACTAAACTTATTGTTGTAAAATATATTGCATTACTGTAACAATACACATGTCACTATAATAAATAATTTACCCGGTACTTACTTTAATTCCTGCACTTTGCAATATACACTGATTTCAAGCTAATTAAATGTGTATGTAATCCTTTAGAAAGTTGTTTTCTTTATTCTAGTATAATAATTCTTCTGTTACTGGACAGGTATTAAAGTTTGTCTAAAAAAAAAGAAATAAGCAAGGTTTAGAGTTAGATATAAAACTGAAATATTTTTTAACAATTTAAGGACAGATGATACAAACAAACTTTTGTCAAAGAATTTGAAAGTAACAACTGGGGTCATGTTTAAATCAGTAAAATTAATAACTTTCTTCAAGTACTTTTTAATTTTTAATTCATATTTGCATAAAAATGGAAATTGAATAAAAAATAATTTAATAAGGATAGTTTCAAGAGGGCAGACTTTTGAACATCACAGAAGGTTTACAATTTCTTAATATTCTAGAAATTTATTAATAGCATCATTAATTTGCAATTAAATTATGCCAAAAAATATATACCAATCCAGGCATCCATTTTTTGTTTGTATCATCTGTCCTTAATTTACGTTCATATTTTAAGAATGGTTACCTTGAAAAGAACAAAATCTAGGCTGTCTACTTTCTTGCAGATTGCACTTGAACTTCAGTCATGGCCTATTTGGTCCTGTTTTGGTTTACTGGTCTTACTTTTCCTTTATTCATCTTATATGATAAATCCTTTGATGAAAAAATGATGAAAATAATTATTTTCTTAGGAACATGATCAAAAGGAAAATTCATTTCATTCATACACAGACATGTTCATGTGTGTGATCATCTTACCAGTAGTGAATATTTGCCTGAGTATCAAATAATTTGTTTAGAATATTATAAAACATGGTCAGTGTGTACATGTATAAAACAAATATCATTATAAATCAGAGGTGAATATTCTACATGTACATGTATATAGTTTTATTATACCCTCCGCTTGAAAAGTGGAAGGGTATACTGTAATCGGTATGTCCGTCTAGCTGTACGTCCATCTGTCTGTACGGCTGTCTGTCTGTTACGCTTTAGGGTACCCATCTCTTATTATCCGCAACTCCTCTTATACCATTGCAATGAGTGAAATTTAATGAACCTTTCACAGAATCTTTATTACATATTGCCATTGTGCACCTCCTATTTTACTTTTTGATTCGACACATATTTTGGGTTTCCCGGCCACAGTAAAACATGGATTTGTCATCAGTTATAACCATATGGGAGGCAGGGGGTATCATTTAGTGAGCTCATTGCTCACAGTACCTCTAGTTAAATTTTGTTTTAACACTAATACATAAGTACAAGTGTACATATATATTTTTTACTGTTTGCTATTTGAAAAGATTATTATTATTCACACAAAATTGAACTATAGATTATACAGTACTGGTACTTCACAGATGAATGAAAGAGTCTATATAAACAAAAATAACTCAATATTTCCAGTGCATTCTTAACCTAGATCTATTTTGTCAATACATATAGTACAGTTTTGGATAGATATATAACAAGAGGCCCATGGGCCACATCACTCACCTGAGCACTAAGGGTAGGAAAAAGTAGAAAATGGTTTTTTATTGTAAAGTTTAAATCCAAAAGTAGTCCCATGACCAATCATGGATTTGCTATTTTTTAGAAAATGATTTTTAAAGAATTTTCCTATATATGATCTTTGAAAACTTTGGTCGGCCATTTTGGCCCCGCCCTAGCCCCGGGGGACGTGATTTGAACAAATTTGAATCTACACTACCTGAGCATGCTTCCATATAAATATGATGAATTATGGTTTTGTCATTCTTGAGAAGAAGATTTTTAAAGAATTTTCCTATATATTTCTATGTAAAACTTTGGTCGGCCATTTTGGCCCCGCCCTCCCCCCGGGGTCATGATTTGAACAAATTTGATTCTACACTACCTGAGCATGCTTCCATATATATGATGAATTATGGCTTTGTCATTCTTGAGAAGAAGATTTTTAAAGAATTTTCCTATATATTTCTATGTAAAACTTTGGTCGGCCATTTTGGCCCCGCCCTACCCCGGGGGGTCATGATTTGAACAAACTTGAATCTACACTACCTGAGCATGCTTCCATATAAATATGATGAATTATGGCTTTGTCATTCTTGAGAAGAAGATTTTCAAAGAATTTTCCTATATATTTCTATGTAAAACTTTGGTCAGCCATTTTGGCCCCACCTTACCCCCGGGGGTCATGATTTGAACAAACTTGAATCTACACTACCTGAGGATGTTTCTCCATAAGTTTAATCTTTCCTGGCACAGTGGTTCTTGAGAAGAAGATTTTTATAATATGCCACCAAATTTTCATTTATTCCCAATTATCTCCCCTTGAATGAGGGCGTGGCCCTTCATTTGAACAAACTTGAATCCCCTTCACCCAACGATACTTTGTGGCAAGTTTGCTTGAAATTGGCCCAGCGGTTCTTGAGAAGAAGTCGAAAATGTGAAAAGTTTACAGACAGACAGACAGACGGACAGACAGACGGACGCCGGACAAAATGTGATCAGAAAAGCTCACTTGAGCTTTCAGCTCAGGTGAGCTAATAAATTTAAAGTTTAAAAGATAGAAGCTATTAAATAAAACAATGACATCAAAACAAACATGCTGTTTTCCTATTTTCTGCTTATGAACCATGACCACATTTTGCTGATATATAGAATACTATTTAAAAAACTTAGCTACTTTATGCTTGTGCTCACACATTATAAACGTTTGATGCACTTTTTTTTTATAGAAACAAACTTGCTGTAGTTAAATATTTTAACAACACAATTCTGTAAAATATGTGCGTAATGCCAATAAAGAATTGAAATAATAGGATAAACAATGAATGAAAACTGACAGAAGAGGAAATTTATATTATAAAGATAAATAATGCTCACTTAAAACTCTCTCTCAGCACATCATAAAAAGTAAACCTACTGAATGGCACAGATTTTATACAATCTCTATACAGACATTTATATTTCGGGGGGGGGGGTTCAGCTGTATCAGAAAATGATGTTTATATGCTTTCAAATTCATTTTTATTAATAAAAATAATTAATTCATTGGTCAGAAAGTCAAACTGTCAAAAGGTATAGCTCGCTTAATTTGATAAGGACCACTGACCACTACCGGTAAAACAATTGTGTATTGTAAGGCAAATAAAATTAAGAAAATATGCATTTGTTAATCTTGATATTTTTGTAATGCTCAGTATATACATAAATTTACCTTCTGTCTTCATTGTTTAAGATGTCTAGCCTTCTTTTCTTCTTCCAGACTGTATCTTTTGCTAGAAAATGTTCATTGCTGTTTACTAAATACACATTGTACCTCCAAACGTTAGAGAGTAGTTCAAAGGGAAGTAATTGTAAGTAAAATGCTTCAAAATGTAAAAAAAAGTAATCTTTACCTTTGAATTCCTTTTACATCTTGAGTCTCCCACCAATATTTTACATATTTTGATATAATTAAATATCAGCCTTTCATAATTAATTATTACTAAATTTGTAATCAGTGTGCCTTTTTTGTTTTAAGCCTCCATATTTTCATCAAAACACAACAAAACTTATTTTCTCAAATTCAAATCTGTGCTCCATAGCAGTAAGCCAGTTATACATCTGAGTTTAAAACTGGCTAACATGAGTTCCATTTTAATCAAATGCAATGAAACTTCACACATCGATAAGATAAATGTTTTTATGCCCCGCCATGAATATGGCCGGGGCATATAGTGTTTGACATGTCCGTCTTCCGTCCTGTCCTTCTGTCCTTCCGTCACACTTTGCGTTTAGCTCTGTTCAAAGCTAAGTTTCAAAGATACTATCAAAGATATTTTCATCAAACTTCATATGCTGATAGATATTGATGAGAGCTATGCAACTACATCAACATTTTATGACCTTGACCTTTCCTTTGACCTTGACCTCACTTTTCTTAAATTAGTGTTTAGCTCAGTTTTAAACATACCATTCAAGATGGTGTTATCAAACTTCACATGTTGATACAAACTTGCACTGATGATGCATCTCTGGATGAACACTACCAGACTTGCTTGGGATGCTGGATCTGACCTACCGGTACATTTTCCAGATGAGTGACCAGGTTAAAGTTTTTGGAACAGGTCCATTTCCAAGGAACTATAAGCCCTACCAAAACCAAACTTGAACGGATGATGCATCTAGGGATGAACACTACCAGACTTGCTGAGGATGCTGGATCTGACCTACATTTTCCAGATGGGTGACCAGGTTAAAGTTAATGGAGCAGGTTCATTCCTAAGGAACTATAAGCCCTACTTCGACCAAACTTGCATGGATGATGCATCTAGGGATGGACACTATCAGACTTGCTTCGGATGCTGGATCTGACCTATATTTTCATTCCCAAGTAATTATAAGCCCTACCTGAACCAGACTTGCATGGATGATGCATCTAGGGATGGACACTGCCAGACTTGCTTCGGATGCTGGATCTGATCTATATTTTCATTCCCAAGCAACTATAAGCCCTACCTGAACCAAACTTGCATGGATGATGCATCTAGGGATGGACACTACCAGACTTGCTTCGGATGCTGGATCTGACCTACATTTTCATTCACTAGTAACTATAAGCCCTACCTGAACCAAACTTGCATGGATGATGCATCTAGGGATGGACACTACCAGACTTGCTTCGGATGCTGGATCTGACCTATATTTTCATTCCTAAGTAATTATAAGTCCTACCTGAACCAAACTTGCATAGATGATGCATCTAGGGATGAACACTTATCTACCAGACTTGCTTCGGATGCTGGATCTGACCTATATTATCATTCCCAAGTAACTATAAGCCCTGCTTGAACCAAACTTGCATTGATGATGCATCTAGGGATGGACACTACCAGACTTGCTCCGGATGCTGGATCTGACCTATATTTTCATTCCCAAGCAACTATAAGCCCTACCTGAACCAAACTTGCATGGATGATGCATCTAGGGATGGACACTACCAGACTTGCTTCGGATGCTGGATCTGACCTATACTTTCATTCCCAAGTAACTATAAGCCCTGCTTGAACCAAACTTGCATTGATGATGCATCTAGGGATGGACACTACCAGACTTGCTTTGGATGCTGGATCTTAACTACATTTTCATTCCCTAGAAACTATAAGCCCTACCTGAATCAAACTTGCATGGATGATGCATCTAGGGATGGTCACTACCAGACTTTCTTCGGATGCTGGATCTGACCTATATTTTCCAAACAAGCAATTCAGCTGCCACACTATTCAAGATATTCTGATCAAATTTTATACACATACAAATTTTCATGTTGCTTTACTAATATATCCTCGGCGGGGCATTCATGTCCTATGGACATATTTCTAGTTTTTTTTATTTATTAGAAAATATGTCGATCTGTAATCTTGTAAAATTTGTATGTGGAGGAGGAACATTGTCTACGTATCTTTTGAATGACCCTCGTTCATATGTTTCTAAAAGTTGAAGAGATAAAAACCGGAGCTAGCACCAGGTTTCGTCGACAATTAACATTTCAATGGGCTTCCATAGATCTTAGTAAGTCCCATTTACAAACCACGTGAACATGACTACAGTTAAGGATTTAAACAAAGAGGAAATAATTTAAAAAGAAGCTATTATATATTGTCTAGGTAAGATCATGATATAAAATGTACTTTTTGTTGAGTTAGCAATGCCAGGTCCTGTGTACCTTGGAAAAGCATGCAGGTAAATTCCAGGCCTTTTACCTGTTTATAATAATTTGTATTCAAACAATCGCTGGTTGTATCCGGTCGATATCTCAGTATATTACATAATAATAACATCCAGGCAAAAGTCGCATGCATTATCAGTTAAAACTTTTCACCTTTTCATGTTTATCTTGCCACAAGAATTGATTTAGACAGGTAGGTGTATACGAGACATTTAAAATAGTGAGTATAGTGATGCCCATATACCTATAAGACTAACCAAAAAGAGTCTCCGGCTTATGTCGGTATCCTTGGATTGATATTTTGTTTTAATTAGGTAGGTACTGTGGCTAGTTTTGAAGGGACGGGGAATAGTGCGGAAGTCAAGTATAGTGGATGTCATCAGTGGTTATAGAGGATACACAATTTCAATTAGGCCAAATTCTTGGACGGAATATATAAAAGAGGTTGATAAGAGAAAAATTATTGTAAGCACGGGGGCCAGACGCACTATTTGTCATTTTTAGGTGTTTCTATACAATTAAATACATGTATAACGTTACGCAGGCCTCAGTGTATTACGGAAAGGGGGTTGGTTGCGGTTCCCTACTCTTTTGATGAATAATCTTTTACTGACATTATTTTAAAATGAACATTTTAAAATTTCATTTATTGACTGCCTTTCCTTGTCTACTCTTTGTTGTAGTAAGGTGGATCTCTGAATTCAGGAAGAAAAAGAAAAATCGTGTAGGTGGTGTAGTAGTTCTTTTTTAAACCTATATATTTCTTTCAATTTTTGGGGATAAACACTTTTTAAAGTTGTTTTTGCCTTGTTCTGAATATTGATACCCCGTGTATAATGCTGATATGCCGCCTACCGCGTCTGGTCCCCGTTTTCTGATAACATGAATGTGATTCCCAGAAAAGATACCGAAACCGGATGTATGGCAATGAACCGATTAAAAAATATGCATATTACACTAAACGAATTGAATTGTTTTTATTACGTGGCCGATTTCAGTATGTCTTAAAGATAATTAATTTTAACTGGTATATGTTCAATTCCAGTTTTTACAGTATTATATATAATTGTGTTTCAGCGGTATTAATGATAATACTTGTTATTTTCGTAGATCCATATTATTCGAATTCTATGTAGAGAAGTGAACAGACATTGGCTTACATCCATGGGTGTTTATAGTAAATTCTATGCATGAAAATTCAAGTAAATGAAAAAAAGATGTAATAAATGTAATCGGTGAAAAAATGTCCAGCAAGCCTAAGGGTTAAATATTTTAAGGGGTTGTCGATCGAGATCCACCTATGAAAAGATTAATTATGATTTTTTAAATATAATTATATATTTGGAGTAGAATTCTTTGTCTGTATACATGTACACCTCAAACGTAATGTACTTGGACATTTTATTATCATTATAAGTCAGGTTTTTAAAATTTTATTTATATATTTTTTATTTAAAAAACTATAAGCCATGTTATTATATTTTAGACTTATATCGGCCATCGTATTTTATTCGGATCATTGCAATTCAGTTTGCATTCTTGAATAAATTTTGCATAATCATGATAATGGGATAATTGATTATTGCACACAAAATATCATTTTGCAGAAGTGCACATTATTAAAGCATAAACATGTATAAGCACATACATGTACTAACATGACTTTTCATAATTCTTAACTTCATGTTCTACGAAATCAATCAAATGTATTAATTTAATTTCTTTGTAGATAACAAAACAGAGATATGTCTGTAAGTATTTTCGCGTATATTTAGTGTTACATGTATATATTCTTAAATTTGAATCACCTCGATGGGTTTTTTTTTATGGAACCTAAATGATTACAATATTTATCTTGTCAAATGAAGTAGTACTAATACTCGTATTTGTAAATTCTTGTGTAGCATGTTCACACAGATTTTTTTTAGTCACATGGATCTTTTTTACGACAAGAAAAAGATCTATACTTTTTTTTTTTTTGGAAAAATCGATGTATGTTTTCAGCATGAAAAGAGTGATATTTGTTTTTATATTTTATTTGATTTTGTGTGTGTGTGTGTGTTTTTAAATGAAAATGTAAATGTTGAATTATTAAAGAGTACGATGCTTCATATTTTAATTTACTGTTCAAAAATACAACACATAAATACCTATCAAAACATATCAAGAAAATTCAGATTAACATTTAATTTTTTTTTCAATATTTAAGAAAAGAATATTTTTCAAACTTATGAGTAAATCATTTTGGAAACAATTTACGAATACATATAGGATAGATTTTAAAAAAAATGAAAAGAAATTTTGAATATACAAAAACTGCTTGTCTGTAAGATTTGAACAATCCCAATTACATTTTAAAGTTTTCTTTAAAAAATAAATAAAAAAAAAAGAAGTCATGTTCACGGTTCAATGCATGCTGCAGATTTTACACTGAAGTTCATTGTCATCCTGATATACTATAGGGTGCAACAAACACGTTTTCTTTCACCTCATTACGCACCAAAAGATATTCGATATCATTTGCACTGGGCAATGCATGACCAAGTAAAACAAACACAAATGCACATTCAATGAAATAAAAGGAAAACAAACAGAATCAACAGCGTAAGATATTTGAGTATGTGTACTGCAAGCTGCACAGCGTAGTCCGAAATATCTTGATATGTTTTTCAGTCTTTTTTTTAACGATTTTGGCATTTTACATGCCATGGAAAAATTTGGATCGCAGAGATATCGAAAATCAACCCGAGAATGCTGCCTCTTGTCAGAGGCGGGGAATTTCCAGTTTTCGTAATGGCGCCGATTCTGATGTTACCCTAGTATGTAAAATATCAAAATCGTAACTTTGTCAAAATCGTGAAAAAGCCTGGAAAACGTCAGATATTTTGGACTAGCCGCAGCGACCAGCTAAAAGCAATCACGTGAAACGAATGAGAAGAGGCATATATTCTTGAGATAGGAAAACTGATATGGCTTATTAACGAGTTGAGTTCAATTTTACCACGCAATGGTTATCTTATTTCAAGGATATTGAGTCTTCAGATTTAATCGAAAACAACTCATAAAAGATTTAAAAGAAGTTTCTTTACTTGAGTACATATTCTCTAACCTGTTGCCGGGCGTAGACATGAAGTTATAGCCATTTATCTGTAAAATATGAAAAATTAAGCAAGGTGACTAGGTAGGAAAAATCCAGTTATTGAAATGTTGAATATAGCGGGAGGCTGTCAAAAGAGAAATTTCAATGCAAAATATTTTAGTAGGCACATTATTGTTGGAATATTTCTTAATTCCTACAGTTTTCGGACTGCTTTCATATCGATAGCTTCCTCCTTTCTTTAATCTAAGACAACATTTTTCTCTGTTTCAGGACAAACCACCTCCATATCAGCCCCCTCAAGGTTATCCACCACCTCAACAGGGTTACGGCCAGCCCCCACAGGGTTACGGCCCACCCCCACAAGGATATGCCCCCGGACCACAAGGATATCCACCACCCCAACATGGATATGCCCCACCCCCACAAGGATATGCCCCGCCCCCGCAACATTCCCATCACACCAACACGACAGTAGTGGTAGGGGGAGGGGCACCAGCACCTGTTGTCATACAACAGGTGCCCGAGAGGTACAATAGGGTTTTTTGTTTAAAGGAGATGGGTGAACTTAGCGTGCAGAAAGCCCACTAGCTTCAGATATATAAAAACTATATTCAAATTGTGAATTTAGTATTTATAGTAAAGTTCTTATCATTGTTTTTATGAAATCATGATAAACAAAATGTTTTGAGAATTAATTTATTCTTTTATTAACAAAAAATAATGTGGTATCCATTGGGTTCAACCCTGGCAATATATAGACTAGCATAACCACTACGCTACACAAGTTCTGATGAAGTGTGGCATTTAAATCATGCTTGTGATATGACTATTGACTTAAGGGACTTCAAGTATTTCTTGAAAAGATACGAACGTTTTGTCATAAAATTATATTTTTAAGGTATCCATAATTTTGGAAACCAATATATGTATGTTTGTATGCAAACAAGATTAACTCTCGCCGAAAAATAGTGTTATAGTGTGAAAAAATGCGGCCCGTGCATTTTTTCAACCTTCATGAAATTTGAATGTTTGTTGCGCTATGGGCTTATCTCACGTCATGTTCACCCGTGTCCTTTCATTTAGTCTGTCCAAAATATATAACCATCATGCAATATTTAATACGCGTATCAAATTCTGCGACTGATCTACGTCGTTAAAAATAGGTTGCAATTTTTCGTTCGCCAAGCGCCACGGCCCGGCATTTTTCAGTGAAGTTTGTGGGTCCTTCGGTTGAGACCTCGAAAACCGAGGCCCCGTATCACGGCAGGTGTTGTTAAATTACGATCAGGATCCATCACTGCTCGATGGCCGAGTATTGGTCTAAATTTGAAATCCTTCACCAGTATAAGGTGTCGTCTTAATGAGAGTGAAAAAATTATTCTCGAATTGGACGTAAAACAACATCGTTACAATCAATCTACTTTACAGTTATAATTATGAGCCTTTGAAAAAAAATGATATTGTTACAAACCTTTCCTTCTAGAACTATTATGACATATCCTGCGTTTATTTATTTACTAAAATTATTTAAAACCCATTTATTGAAAACAAGTGACCTTTTAAGTACATTGTACATGTACTTATTAACAGCATCCTTAAGGCTCGCATGGTTTCAATTTGTTTTTTTAACAGCAATATTAAAAAGCTTCAATTACGGATACTGGTACTTAGTTGATTTTTTTCCATTGTACAAAACACTTGGAATGTAAAGCAACCATCAGAATTTCGGAGCGTTCCAAAGATGTGATTTTAATCAGATTGCACTTGCACATTTCCTTTTCCATACGACTAAAATATTGGCATGTATTTATCTGTTAAAAACAGTCTTTGCTATCTATAAAAAGATTTGAACTAGCAAACAAAATATGGATACTTATGACGAGAAATCCGCTTCCAACATTTTTCATTTCATGGCAATTCTTGTGTTTAGGCGGGGCTGCATTGATTATGTAATAAATTGCCTTGTTTAAAATCTGTTCTCCTGGGTATTTTACTGATAAAATAAGTGCTTGGTTGTGAAAAGTATTTGTGTATAATAATTTTTTTTAAAGATTTATTGCCCCAGGACTAGGGGATTAGGTATGGAGGGGCAGATTACCTCGTATTTTACCCGGTATTCTAGTGAATTATTTCTTTTAAATGTAAAATCTTCTTCGTGTTCTTGTTCTGCGGTTTTAAGTAAACATTCAAGTGCTATTGTACAAAATGCATGTAATTTTAGTAAATGCATCTACTTTTTAATTTACTAAATAGAGTTCTGAACTAAATATGTTATTGATTACATTCATATTTTTTTTATTTTTAAACTGTTCGTTATCTTTAAAATATTTTATTAATTTCTGATTGTTTTATTTTTCTTAATGCTTTGGGGGAACATGTCTATTTTTTCGGGGGGGGGGGGTACATTTATCATACTGATACTTTACAATAGTGCAATATACTTTACATTATGCAAATAATGTAAAGTGCGTCATTTCGACTTCTGTTGAATCATACATAACTGAATCTACACCTTAAACAGCCCGAGACCACTAGATTTTCTGACGTCAGCATAAATTTGCATGTAAATTAGCTATCTGTTTACTTTACCTACCGTGCTACTGAATGAGCCGCAATGCATTGTGGGCACAGGCACCTGACGTTACTTATTTTTCTTTTAATAAAAAAAATATACCCATACCTAAAAATTAACTTTTATTATTAGGTATGGGTATATATTCTTTTTTTATTAAAGGTACCTTGGACACAGATTTGAAGTTCATTTTTTCTGTATAATATTACAAATTATATATTTTCATAGCATTTCACACAAAAATTAATTAAATATCTTATTTCATTTAAAAGTTATTGAAAAATTAAAATTTTTTGGCGGGTTTGATTGACCACATCCTTGCACTTTCACAAATTTTAACTTTATTCTTTAATCCTCAGGTAAAGTGGAAATCTTGTTGTGTATTAATGAAAAATATTAATACTATAATCCAGAAAATTCAGAGAAGACATGTTCGAAAGCAAAACAAAACACACAATTTAGTGTCAGTCCGTGCAGTTGTGGTGAACAGACTTTGGCGATTTAACGCACCCGGTGAATCGTAAACACCAAACAATAACAGAGCTCTAGCCCTGTTTACAAAAACTGTGTACATAACACAAGTGTGCTCGATTGGCAAAACTCTGTACACAACGGAATGACGATACTTGTAAAGAAGTTTTGCTTTCTAACATGTCAACTAAAAATTGTTTTTCTGGATTTAAGTTTTTTAAAATATTTCTCATTAATACACAACAAGATTGCCACTTTTCCGAAGGATTAAGAATAAAGTTAAAATTTGTAAAAGTGGAAGAATGTGTCAATCAAACTCGCCAAAATATTTAATTTTTTAATAACTTTTTAATGAAATAAGATATTTAATTAATTTTTGTGTGAAATGCTATTAAAATATATTATTTGTGATATTATACAGAAAATATTAAATTAAAATCTGTGTCCAAGTACCTTTAAAAGAAAAATAAGTAACGTCAGGTGCCTGTGATTGCGGGCTACTACAAGTACCCAGCTGAGTTGAAAATAAAGGGCAACTTGAATTGTCCATAGGAAACTTATTTTTATACCCCCCGCAAACGAAGTTAGGGGGTATATTGGAATCACCATGTCCGTCTGTCCGTCTGTCTGTCTGTCTGTCTGTCTGTAGACGAGATTTCGTCCGGACCATTACTCAGAAACTATTGGAAGGATTTGTCTGAAAATTTGTACACATATTATTCACCATATGAAGTTGTGCACCTGATATTTTCATCTTGATTAGATTATTATTTGAATTTTACAGGTGTTTTTTCATTTTTATTTTGTGGTTTTGTCTGGACCGTTTCTCAGAAACTATTGCAAGGATTAATCTGAAAATTTGAACACTTATTATTCACCATATGAGGTGTGCACCTGAAATTTTCAACTGTTTTTGTTAATTTTTTTGCATTTTACAGGTTTTATTTTTTATTTTAATTGACTTGTTCATTTTGGGCTCATGTATAAGGTTTGA